ATTCAATGGTGAAAAGCTGAAAGTGTTCCATCTAAAATTAGGAACATGACAAGGATGCTCACGCTTGCCAATTTATTCAACATAGTATTGGAAGTCCTAGCCAGGACAATTAGGCAAGAAAAATAAATAAAAGGCATACAAATTGGAAAGGAAGAAGTAAAATTGTCACTATTTGCAGATGACATGATATTATATACAGAAAACCATAAAAAATCCATCAAAAACTGTTAAAAGTAATTTTTAAAATCCAATAAAGTTACAGGAAACAAAATCAATACACAAACACTGTTGTATTTCTTTACACTAATAATGAACTATCAGAAAGAGAAATAAAGAAAATAATCCATTTACAATTGTTTCAAAAAGGACAAAATGCCTAGAAATAAATTTAACCAGAAAGATGAAACACTTACATATTGAAAACTACCACATATTAATGAAAAATATCAAGTAAGACATAAATATAACAAATGCAAAGATATTGCATGCTCAAGTACTGGAAGAATCAATATTGTTAAAATATTCATACTACCCAAAGCAATCTACACATTCAATGCAATCCCCATCAAAATTCCAATGGCACTGTTCAAAGAAATAGAACAAATAATCCTAAAATTTATATGGAACTACAAGAAAACCTTGAACAACCAAAGCAATCTTGAGAGAAGAACAAAGCTGAAAGCATCAGGTTCCCTGATTTGAAACTATATTACAAAACTTAATAGTAATTAAAAACATATGGTATTGGCATTAAAATAAACACATTGATCAATAGAACAGAATAGAGAGCCCAGAAATAAACCTACATATATGGCCATTTAATTTACACCAAAATAGCCAAGAATATATAATGGAGTATGGACAGTCTCTTCAATAAATGGTGTTAGGAAAACTAAACAACCACATGTAAAAGAATGAAACTCGACCACTATCTTACACCATACACAAAAATTAACTTAAAATGGATTGAAGACATGAATGTAAGACCTGAAACCACAAAACTCCTAGAAAAAAACATAGGCAGTAAGCTTTTTGATATAGGTATTGGTGAAAATTTTTTGAATCTGACACCAAAAGCACAAGCAACAAAAGAAAATATAAATAAGTGGGACTACATCACACTAAAAAGCTGCTGCATAGCAAAATTAAAAGGCAATCTACTGAATGAAAAAAAATTTGCAAATCATAGATTTGATAAGAGACTAATATCCAAAATATATAAAGAACTCATACAACTCAATAACAAAAAAAATCCAATTAAAAAAATGGGAAGATCTGAATATTTTTCCAAAGAAGACATATACATGGCCAACAGGTATATAAAAAGATGCTTAACATCATTAGTCATCAGGGAAATGCAAATCAAAACCACCATGAGATATCACCTCACACCTGTTAGAATGGTTATTATCAAAAAGACAAGAAATAACAAGTGTTGGCAAGGATGTGGAGAGAAGGGAACACTTTATGTACTGTTGGTGGAAATGTAAATTGATGCAGTCACTTTGGAAAACAGTATGACAACAGTTCCTCAAAAAATTAAAAATAGAACTACCATATGAACCAGCAATTCCACTTCTGGGTATGTGCCCAAAGAAAATGAAAACCCTAACTCAAAAAGATGTATGCACCTCCATGTTTATTGCAACATTATTTACAATAGCCAAGATATGGAAACAACCTAAGTGTCCATTGATAGATTAATGGATAAATTGTGATATATATATATATATACACACATATATATATATCATATATATATATATCATATATATATGATATATATAAAATGGAATATTATTTAGCCATAAAAAATAATTAAATCTTGCCTTTTATTACAACATGTAGATGGACCGTGAGGGCATTATGCTAAGTGAAATAAGTCAGACAGGAAGACAAATACCATATGCTCTCTCTTATATGTGGAATTTAAAAACAAACAAACAACAACAACAACAAAAACAAACCCATAGATACAGAGAACAGATTGTATTAGCCATATTGGGGTGGGGGGAATGGGTGAAGTGTGTCAAAAGGTAAAAAGAAAAAACAAAATTTAAAAACAAAAAAAAAAAATTTTTTTTTTAAGATTTTATTAGGGAATTGAGGGAGGGGAACAGTGCTGGGGAATCGGGGTAAGGGGAACAGGCAAGTTGCTGTCCTTTTTGTTCTTCAGTCTAGTTGTGGAGGACGTTGCTTCACTGGCCCATGTTGGTATTATCATTGCCCTCTTCCCGGGTGAGGCAGATCAGTCGCCAGCCTCTGGACGGCCGCTCACAGTGGCTCTTGGCAGCTCACACGGGTTGCTGGCCACTCACGCTGGCTGCTGGCAACACACAGTAGCTTATGGCAGCCCACTGCAGCAGAGGCTGCAGCCTATGCCGTCGCTGGCAACCCACGGCAGCCCAGCTCCAGGTCGAGCTATTGTTCACAATCTTAGCTGTAGAGGGCATTGTCACCGGCCCTCATGTGGGATTCAAACCAGGGCCCTGCTTCTCAGAGCTGGTGTCCCAAGCCAGCTCTTAACCAATGCGCCACTTGGCCAGCCCACAACAAAAACTTTTTAAACCCCAATCAAATGGACAATTAATACCATGCCAGCCTACCTAAGGATATCCTGTAATATTTTTAAAAATCAATTACTTTCCATGTAAATGTTGATATTTTACTAAGAATGAAAGAATTAAGAAAAAAGTGGTAGAATCCAGCCATCTCCAAAAGTAACTGATTTTGAGACCAATTCACAAACTTGTGTTAGATAACTTGACCTAAATAGAACACCTATGCTGTAGGTATATTTAATATTTTCCATTGATGATCATCCAGGGAGAGTTTAGGAGAAAAATTTGTTTCCAGTATCTATGACTTGTTCAGGCTAATACAACCCAAGATTATTCTAAAACATACATATGAGTAACTATGAGATATTTATAAGACATTGTTCTCAATCCTATGTTATGTTTCTGCTGTAAACTAGGAAAAAAACAGTTTTTTCCTCCTAGTTTGTACTTGGCTCTCTTGCTTTCTCCTAAAATGATGGAGCCTTATAGTACAGCTGTACATCATTTCTCATCAGTACTATCATTGTTACCAGTGAGTGGTTCTTTGATATTCAGTGTGTTTTGGACATTGAATTCAACCCAAATTGAAATTCCTAAACTTTTCCTTTTCTAGAAATATCCCCAAGGGATCAAACCCATTCGTAGTAATAAAAGTGCAAATTATAATCACACTGCCATGCTGAAATATATTTTTACCTATAATATATGCAAAGTTAAACAGATTTGAAAAGACACTGTGTTATCAGAGTACTATAGTCAAACAGACACCATGGTATTCTGCTTACTAGGAGAGCAAATTGATACAACCTCGGTATAGAGCAGTTACACAATGTACCAGAATTTTCAATGCGGAATCCCTTTAGCCCAGAAATTGAGGTTCTAGGTATTTATCATACTTGCACATATGCAAAGTGACATGGGCACCAGATTATTCATTGCAGCATTGTTTGAAATAGCCAAGGACTGGAAAAACCCAAACACAATGCACTATTTTACCATCATTAAAAAAAAATTGCAGGGGGGCTGGCCGAGTGGCGCGTTGGTTAAGAACTGGCTTGGGACGCCATATGAGGGCCAGTGACACTGCCCTCCACAGCTAAGATGCTGAACAACAGCTCAACCTGGAGCTGGGCTGCTGTGAGTCACTGGCAACGGCGTAGGCTGCAGCCCCTGTGGCAGTGGGTTGCCATGGGCTACCGTGTGAAGCCAGCAGCCAGCGTGAGCGGCCAGCAGCCACAGTGAGCGGCTGTCCAGGAGCCGGCGACTGATCTGCCTCGCCCAGGAAGAGCGCGATGATGGTGCCAACTTGGGCCAGTGAAGCAACATCCTCCACAAGTAGACTGAAGAACAGAAGGACAGCAACTTGTCTGTTCCCCTTCCCCCAACTCCCCAGCACTGTTCCCCTCCCCTAATTCTCCAATAAAAATCTTAAAAAAAAAAAGAAAAGAAATAAAATCTTTTAAAAAAGAAAAAAAAATTGTACAAATCTATACTCATATATGATGATATAGTAGGACCGCTAAGGTGCAAAAGAATATACAAACTATGGTAGCTTTTGTGTAAGAATGAAAAAATGGTACCGATATATAGTGCCTTTGTACAGTAGCCTACCCTTATCCACTGGGGATACATTCCAAGACCCCCAGTGGATGCTTGAAACATCAGATGGTATCAAACCCTACATATATCTTTTCTGTATGTATACATTATGTACATATATGTTTTCATGTCTTCCACCCACAAATTTAATGCCTTTTCCATTTTAGCTAAGCACTTATCATGAACTGTCTCCATAACTTTTGCAGTTTGAAGTATGACAGCAAAACTAGCATGAATTTCTTTTTCCTTCTTCATAATTTCTGATAGATTTGTTCTTAGCATAGATCTTAACCTCAGCATATGATCTTTTTTTCTCTTCTTATTAAGTCAAAAACGTTCACCTTTTCACTTAAAGGAAGTGCTTTATGGCTTCTCTTTGGCATATCTGAATTCCAGCATCACTACTCTTGCACTTTGGGGCCATTAGTAAGTAAAATAAGGATTACCTGTACGCAAGCTGTAATATGGCAACAGGGTTCTGATAACCCAGGAAGGTACTGACTAACGATTGAGGGAGTATCTACTGCATGGAGGCTCTGGAAAAAGTGATGATTCACGTCCCTGTGAGACGGAGAGAGATTTTTGTCATGCTACTCAGAAAGGCAAACAATTTAAAACTTACAAATTGTTTGCCTCTGTAATTTCCCATTTAATATTTTCGGACCACGTTGACCGCGGGTAACTGAAACCTCAGAAAGTGAAACTACAGATAAGGGGGGACTACCAGAGTGTGTTGACCTGACTAGCCTGAACTACATTGCCCAGAATTCCTTTCCCTGTACATTTCCAGTTAAGGTAAGCCTCAAGAGACATTTTTGCAGGACATTAGGAGGACAGAAGCAAAGCAGCAGCCATTTTTATTCTTATCCTTACAAAAGGGGAAGCAGACACTTTTGTAATTCACATACATTGTTGCTCATCTGTTGGCAGCAACTGGACCTGCAACTGCTTCACTTTCCCCTGGATTCCCCTGCAGCGTCTTCAACTCTGGCCCCAGGTGAGTGTTTGTTTAGCTCTGTGAGGGTGCCTGCTTCTGCAGGACACCCACACCAAGTCAGAGGCAGTGAGAATTGACAGAGGTCTCAATTCATCCTAGTGGATTTCAGCCCTTGCTCATGGGTTCCAGCTTATTTCCTCCTATTTTATATCCATCTTCCCTCTACTATCTGTCCTGCAGATTTTAAGCTATAGCATCAGACATAATGACAAGAGTCTTACAAGGACTGTTTAAACAACTTCTGCAATTGCATAAGATTAAATCCCTATAACAAATCTGTGTGTGTGTGTACACACACACACACACAAACACACACACACACACTCAATATATATATTATATGTATACTGGGGGTACCAAAAAAATGTATACACACATGACTTGCATTCATCTTTTGTTATCGGCATATATTGAATATTACAATTTTAATACAGTTTTTTCCTTTCTTAAAATGTGTATACATTTTTTGGCACCTTTTGTATATATATACGTGAATCTGCCCTTTTTAAGTTATTTGCCTTTTTCTTATCTATAAGATATATATACACATTGTAAATACTCATGCTTTTCATTTATATGCATTACAGATAGCTTCTCCCAGTTCGTAGACAGGTTACTTAAACCTTTGGATGTCTCAGTTACCTTATATTAAAAAAAATAATAATAACATAATACCTTCCTTAAAACATGTTAAGTCACTTAATCCTCAAAACAACTCTATGAGGTGAATATCATAATTAAGCCCATTTTTCCAATGAGAAAACTTTTCTAGGTTATAATAAATTGTTTACCATGGAGGTTGTACCAATTTTTATCCTATTATCAGAATATACATATCACTTTTGCTCCACTTGAAATGAGCAGATTTTTAAATTGTTGCCAGTATGGTAAGTGTGAAATAGAACTTTTTTTTGTTTTTTATTTTGTATTCCCCTGGTAATGAATGAGGTTGAACATCTTTTCTTGTGTGTATTCTCTATTCTTGGTTCCTCCTTTCTAAAATGAATATACATGTATTTTTCCTACCTTAGGTTGGGTTGTCTCTTTCCTGTTGATTCATAGGTTTTCTTTATATATTCTGGATACATGTGATAAGTAGCTTCTCCTAGTTTGTGGCTTCTCTTTTTATTCTCTTTGTGCTGATACTGGATGAAAACAAGTTCCTAATTTTAATATAATTTGCTTGTTTACATTTTCCTTTTCCTGGTTATGCTTTTCTTAAGTTTATTACCTTCCTTTAATTTAAACTTTTCTATGCCTTTCTGTTATAGATATGACAAGTATACAAGTAAAAATATGCTTGTAAGAAGCATAATCAAATCTAATAGCTTCTTGTGTTTTAATATATGAATTTAATTTGTTTATACTTCTTGCTATCAGTGATACATTTAGACTTATTTCTACCATCCTATTTTTTAATTTACTATTTGCAATTCTTTTCATCAGCTTTTCTCCCCTCTTCTTTCCTGTCTTCTGTTGGATTGATAAATTTTTATAACTTCCCTGCAATTTTAGAATCTGTAGATTATATACCTATTGGTTTAGGCTGTCTTAAATATTTAGCATATATTTTTAACCATAATGTTTTAATACACTTTAAAATTATTCCCTGTTAAAGACTTTAGTGATACATGAAACAAAATTAGCAAAATATTGATTACTGCTAAAGCTGGGTGATAGCAAGCTGTTTTTAAAGGACTTAGCAAGCTCACCCACCCATTGAACACACACACATAAATTGATACACACAAATAATCACAAATAATCTTATTGGGGAAATTTTTAGTTTTTATCTTTTTAATTAAAACATGCAAAATTTTGTTTAATGGGGGATTTTTCAATCACAAATACATTTCCAGATATATTTTGTGACTATTCTCATTGTTTTTCGGTCAGTTATTTATTTTTATACCACATGCTTTACCTCTGGGTTCAGTTCTCTTCTTTTATTTTATTTTACTTTTAAAGATTTTATTGGGGAATCGGGGAAGGGGAACAGCCAAGTTGTTGTCCTTCAATCTTAGTTGTGGAGGGTGCAGCTAGCTCAGCTCCAAGTCCAGTCGCCGTCTGGCCACCTGTCAGCAGCTTGCGGCCCGGCCACTCAGCTCAAGGTGCCTGTTCAATCTTAGTTGCAGGTGGGTTTAGCCCACCATCCCATGTAGGAGTTGAACCGGAAACCTTGTTGCTAATAGCGCTCATTCAAACCACTGTGCCATCCGGCCACCCGTCAGCAGCTCAGGGCAGCTCAGCTCAAGGTGCCCTGTTCAATCTTAGTTGTGGGTTGGCATAGCCCACCATCCTATGTGGGAGTCAACTGGCAACCTTGTTGTTAGGAGCACATGGTCTCACCAGCTGAGCTATCCTGCCACCTATTGGCAGCTCAGTGGCACTCAGCTCCAGCACAGATCACTGGCCCATGTGGGAATCGAACCGACAACCCTGTTGATCAGAGCTCTCACCCTTAATCAACTGAGCCACTCAGCCAGCCCTCAGTTCTTTTCTTGATGGAAAAGATCCTTAATAGTTTCTTGAATGAGATTCGGTGGCAAATTTTACTCTTTTTTTCTGAGTAATAGTTTAACTGGGTATGAAATTCTAAGTTGATGGTTATTTTTCCTCAGTACTTTCGTAATATTTGTCCTTTGTCTTCTGATATCTGTCACGTTGATGAGAAGCCATCTGTCCATTAAACTGTCATTCCCTTGTAGATAATGTCTTTTTTCTCTGGCTGCTTTAAGATTTTCTCTTTATCACTGATGCAATGTCACCACAATGTGCCTACTTTGTGGATTTATTTCCACTTATTATTGCTTGGTATTTGGAATGCACTCTCATTTAAGAATGTACATCTTTCTTTAATTCTAAAAATTTTTAACTAGTATTTAATCAAATATATATTGCTTTTTCATAATTTCCTCTATTCTTTTCTTATGGAACTTTTATTAAATATGCCTTTACATCTTTAACTGATGATTTATATTTTTCTTTACACTGGATCCTGGGTGAATTCTTCACCATTCTTTTCCAATTTATTAATTCTCTAATTCCTTCTGATATAGAATTTGTCCAGTTATTGACTTCTCTATCAAGAACTATGTTTTTATTTCTGCTTGTCTTTTTAGTGAATATTGTTCCTTAATTTATTCTTTTGAGGAAGTGATAGTTAAGTTGAGAACGTAAAAACCATGTAAAATGGCAGGTATAGGGCATTCTTGGCAGAAATATTAGCTTTGGTAACTGGACATTCTATTTTTTTCCCCAAAAGAAGTCTGTCTGCTCCTTACCCAGCATTTATTTTCAACTTGACCTATCATATAAGCACAGCTGATTATAATCCAACATGTTGACTCAATCTAGAGGCTTTTCGTGCTGTATCCAGGCACTCATTACCTAAGTTTGGGGTGTGAACAATATAATGCATAGAATTTATGAGTGGCTGATTAAATCTTGGCGTCATTGAGTAAGTGCACATACTCTGACCTGCAGAAGCTTTACTTTCATTAAGTCAATTCAGCCATATTGTATCCCACGGATAAAGGTGACCAAGAATGGATGAGCAACAGACTGCATGGTGTTCATCAGAGTAAATAACAGAATAAGAATTTTATTTTTATTGTTAATCATGTGCTTTATGGAAAACAGTAAAACAATTCCATAAATATAAACAGAACAGTTACATTTCATCACTTAGCACTATCTTGATAATATATAAAAAATGTAAACTTGGGCATTAAAATCATGTGGCAACACTCACTTACAAAGGTATATAGATCATTCAGATACTCCAAGCTAAGCTTATACTAATGTATTTTAGAATATATGTAATTTGCAACAACAACAAAAAATTAATCCTGGTTAAATTTGAAGTTCTCCAGGTAACTATTGCTTTCACTCCCTATAGGTGGGGAAAGCATTTTGGGAGGCAGTTAGTAGACAACCCTAATGTTCTTTTTTTCGTGCCATATCACCTTTGATGATAGTTAATCCATTTATGCCTCTTCTCTCCCTCATCACTTCCTCCTTCTAGCCAAGTACCATTCTTACAGCTGCCTGTTTTGAACCAGAGTCTAGTATTGTATTTTCTGACTGGAAAATGAACATATTCACATATCTTGCATTATCTAATGAAGTGAGCTTTACCATCATCATGTTATAATGTTACTTCCGTAGTGCTCAGGGTATTGATGCACAAGTAGATAAGGCACACTCCTTGGCACAACTGCACAGTATGTCTACACACGGCACAGCACAGTGGGTTCCCTGGCTGAATGCAAGCTGTCTGCTAGCCATGGAGTTGCACTGAATGTTTTCCTTTTATAAGCTTAACAGTGTTGCTTTTGTCTAGCATTCATTTTCTTCATTTCTCACAGTGCTTCTTCTAAATATTTAGATCAAAAAAAGGCTGAATACATTGAGCTTTAAATTTGTAACCTGCTTCTGAAATTTTTTGACAATGTATAAATGATGTTTCTCATATTTTCACATTGCAGAAGTAGAACTCTCATATTGTAGGGCTTGGCTAATTCTAATAAGTTTTCTTTTTGGATGAAGCAGTTCAAATATGGAAGTCATCTTCATGAAAAGAGAAAGGTCTCTCCAGTTTCTCCTCAGGAGGAAGCTGGTGCCTTGAATGTGATGTTCACTTCCTTCAAGAGAACAATGTCCTATGTAAGCGAAAATGTTTTTCAACAAAGAGCCTGCTGTTTCCAATTCAATATCCTGTTTTGGTTCCCTACCAAATGTCCCTACAGAAAGAATGTTTAGTGCCAAGGAGACCTATGGTCCAATGAGCCAACAGATCAAATCAGTTATTACGAAATCAAATAATCATTTAAAAATATTTCTTCCATTTGTTTACATTCAAAGTATAGGTATAGGTAATTTCACCAAAATTAATTTTTAAAAGAAATGCAACCTGCTAAGATAGAATGACAGTTGTCATTAGTGAACTCTCCGTAGCTTTTGAGGTTGCCCATGAGCTACAAGGGCTGGTATGACGC